TGGAAAGGGAATCTAGGAAGGCCAGTGAGACATGCTGTTTGCTTTATAAATATCCTAGGATATGTAAAGATTTGTTATTTAGATGCCTGTCAGACTGTTGTGCAACTGACAAGATGATAGATTCTGTGGATGTGTCACGTTTATTTTGGTTATGTTCTAAAGCAAAGATTTTCCGAGCTTTGGCCCTACGAATATTCTCATAAGTAGGAAATTTTTGTTAGCCCATTTTTGAACATTATGCCAAGATACAAGAGGGCATAAGAAATCTGTGTAATCAAGTTGCAGTTTTAGGTTTTATTAGGCTTTGTTGTTCACCCGGAAGGGCTAAAATTATCTCCGGGTTTGTTAGCTAATGCAAGGTTAATGATTGTGCTACGTGGGTGACTTCTGATTCCCTTTCTATCTGAGATTGGTTTGGGCCGTAGCATATTTGACAGCATATTGAGTTGGCTGGACAGCTCAGTGGTTTATCTGTCTGGTTGGGAATTCGAATCCCCCACTAGGTGCCTCCCAGGAAAACAGCCAGCCTGGGTGGCCTTGGGCAAGCTGCACAGCTCCATAGCACCCCTAGAGGAAGGTAAAGGTAAAGCACTTCTGAGTTCTCTCTATCTGGAAAACCCTAACATAAGTCAGAAATGACTGGGTGGCACATGATTCTCCTTATTATAATAGCATATTTAACGGAACTCACATACAGAAATGGGAGGTGAAAGAGAGACGACACACCTAATACAGGAAATGAAAATCTGACTTGATGATTAACCATTTAAATATTAATTTTCATGGTAATACCCACTCTTAGATATTATTTTTTTCTTATAGAATTTTAATGGTGGTGTATATGCACATTTCTACTGTTGCTGCCAGATGAACCTAAGAATAAGAGCAATTATTTTGGAACAGAACATAGGAATAAATAGTTGGGGTTTCTTTGCATGGGAAAAAAGGGTGGAGGGGGGCATTCTCCAGCCAGATATTCTTAGATTTTTCCCAAGTTATTTCTGAGTTGAATTCTGATGAAGCTCATATCGCTGGCTGTGCAATTTCCAGCATAAATACAAGCTTGTCTCCTGCAATTATGCAAAGGCTTCTTTGCAGCCTGAGTTTCGATTTGCTCCTGATTTCTTTCTTTCTTTTTTTTAAGTCCCAGGTTTTATTTAGTATGTGCCTGCACCCTCAAGCTGGAACTGCTGATTATAGAAGATGCAGCCCAGGAAATGGGTCAGGGCTTGGGATTTATGGAACCAAGGATGTCATAATGGCTTAGGTTAAGACGCGGTGGAGGAAAATGGAACGGGGGAACTTTAGACTTGATCTTCCATCACCTTCGGTTTGTATCCCAGTGCAGAATCGTCCCATTTTAGCCCCACAAGAAGGTTCTGTGGTTGGTTAAGCTAACGTTTCAGGTCGGTTAGACTAAAATGTGTGGAATGATTGAAGAGGCAGAGGAAGTCGCGCTATTTCTGTGGGTAGCCCAGGGGTGTTTGGCAAGTCTTTGGATCTGAGGCCTAAATCCAAGTTCCTCTAAAAAGAAGCTTTTCCACCAGATTAGGCATCCTTCAGTCTCGAGAGACGATGGTCACGTGCTCTGTATGGAGGACTTGGAACAGCGTCTAGTGTGGCTGAGGAGGCCAATTCGAGAGTGACAATCCCTTTCACACTGAAGACAAATACAATCGATCCCCTGTCCAGCTCCCTGGTTCTGCTGCTTTTGTGACGGGCTCTTTGCCTCGGCCTGCTGGACAAGGGTCTCTTCAAATTGGGAGAGGCCGTGATGCACCGCCTGCCTCCAGGCTGAACACTCAGAGGTCAAGGTTTCCCATCTGTTGAGGTCCATTCCTAAGGCCTTCAGATCCCGTTTGCAGATGTCCTTGTATCGCAGGTGTGGTCTCCCTCTGGGGCAATTTCCCTGCACTCATTCTCCATCCAGGAGATCTTTTGGAATCCGACCATCAACCATTCTCACAACATGCCCAAGCCAACATAGACGCTGCTGTTTCAGTAACATATCCATGCTAAAAATTCCAGCTCGTTCTAGGACTACTCTATTTGGAACTTTGTCCTGCCAGGTGATAACAAAAATGCATCGGAGACAACGCATATGGAAGGTGCTCAGCTTCCTCTCCTGCTGTGCACAGAGGGTCCAGGACTCACTGCAGTACAGGAGTGTGCTCAGAATACAGGCTCTATAGACCTGGATCTTGGTCTATGCCGTCAGCTTCTTATTGAGCCATACTCTCTTTGTGAGTCTAGGCAGTGGTTCTTAACCTTTGTTACTCAGATGCTTTTGAACTGCAACTCCCAGAAACCCCAGTCAGGACAGCTGATGGTGAAGGCTTCTGGGAGTTGCAGTCCAAAACTCCTGAGTAACACAAGGTTAAGAACCAGTGGTCTAGAGAACATGGTAGCTGCTTTGCCAATGCATTTATCCAGCTCGACATCTCGGGAAAGGGTGTCTGATAAGTTTGGAAAAAAGCAGGGTATGAAGAAAACCACAGTGTATCAATAGCACATGTTAGATATTGTGTGCTCTCGATGTGCAGCTTGTTGGAATAAATGATAACTCAGAACTAAGTCATTGCTATGTTTATTTATTTAATATATTTAAACTATTTCTATCCTGCCTTTCTCCCCAAAAAGACTTAAGGTGGCTTTCAACAGGACGGTCCCCAGAAAATCCAAGCTTGGACAAGTAATGTTTTTGGGTGAAAACGCCCAGAATTCTTTAGCCATTGTGGTGAGAAGTTACTTTTCCAAGCTTTGAGGACATCGAAACAGGTTATTGGTGTGCATCAGATCTACAATATGTGTATTTAGGATGCTCTGCTTTCTCCTGGATTTTATTTTGCTTCTACAAAACTCTGTTCGGGAAGGTGACCTCTTTAGCCATAAACTCTTTATCTGTAGAAGAAACAGGGGGTGGTAGGGTTCTCCTTGTGGGCTGGGTTGCATCACACTATCCTCTACCCCTAGTGCAATCTCAAACCATATTTGTCAAGACGAGAAGGGCCCATGATTTGCATGGAAGGCGCAGAAATTCCAGGGTGCTGTACTCCCGTTCTGTAATGTTCTTCTCAAAGACTTTCATTTTCAAGAGTTGCAAACAGGCCAGTTTCGATTCAATGAGGAATGGAAGGAAATCTCTATGGGTCAGAAGCCCCTTCAACTGAAGATCTTGAGAAGATCCATTCTGGTTCCCAGCTCTTGTGCTTCTAAAAATATTTTTTTAAAAAAAGAAGGAAAGAAAACACCAACATTTTCAGCCCTTGGCACAGATCAGTGGAATGCATAGTAGTAGCAGATAACATCCTGACAAAGAGGAGGTTCTAAGGATGAATCTATGGACAGAAAAGCGTTCCTCTAGCATTAGATGTGAGCAAGTTGACTCTGGTCCATCCAGATGTGCGCAGAAGAGACTTTCTGCATGCGATCAGAAGCGCTGTCGTTTTATTGTGGTAAAAACTGTGTGCTCCAAAGCTGATGCAGAAACTTGACTGTTCCTGAAAAGTGATCAGTATATGTGCAGCAAGATTGATGGGCGTCAGTGAAGTACGACTAATGCAAGATTCACTGTCTTCTTTGTCAGCTGCGCATGTGCCGAGGTTGCATTGTGCCTGCACAATCATGCACACAACCATTACCATGCCTTTTGCAGGCAAGCTGCTCTGATTTCCTCTGTCCTTGGAAAAATGAAAGAGGGCCGCTTTGTTGACTGATTTTGGACCTGCTGCAGTGTGTGTTTCCCGTCCCCTCTGCCTTTCTCCAGGGAACTATAGTACCTATTTGCAAGTGCCTATGTTTAAAAACTGGGACGTGGTGGCACTGCGGGCTAAATCACAGAAGCCTGTGCTGCAAGGTCAGAAGACCAAGCAGTCGTAAGATCGAATCCATGCGACGGAGTGAGCTCCCGTCGCTTGTCCCAGCTCCCGCCAACCTAGTGGTTCGAAAGCATGCAAATGCAAGTAGATAAATAGGGACCACCTCGGTGGGAAGGTAAACAGTGTTCCGTGTCTAAGTCGCACTGGCCATGTGACCACGGAAGATTGTCTTCGGACAAAAACGCTGGCTCTGTGGCTTGGAAACGGGGATGACCACCACCCCCTAGAGTCGAACATGACTGGACAAAAATTGTCAAGGGGAACCTTTACCTTTACCTATGTTT